TGAAAGCCAAGAGAGCTGAAGCGTGAGGGGAAAATAAGACAGCTGACCAGGGAAATGCAGTGAGCAATAAAATAACAGATAAAGGCATGCAAAACAGAAATCAATGGGGTCATTGCTTTGAGCAGGGATAAACAAGTCTTAAAACTAAGCAAATACAGGGATGATCACAAAAGCCAAAATTGGAAACGGAGAGAAAATTGCAGAAGCTATAAGGACAAACAATAACAGATTTCACAAATACGCGAGGAACAAGAAGTCAATGGGAGAGACTGCTGTTTCCATATGTGGCCGGGAGGGGAAGTTAGTGGCAGAGGCTGTTGGGAAGCCGGCGCTGCCTTCCCCTTGGTGTGCTCACTGGGGAGACCACAGGGAACGCGCCAGAATCAGAGAGAAGTGTCCTGGAGGCAGAATCTGAAAAATTAATGAAACAAAGGCTGAGAGCAGAACAGGTTAAGAAAGAAAAAGAAGAAAATAGGGCAGCTGAACAGTAGGCTCCAGGTCTGGTGGCCTGTTTCCTAGGTTTCTGAAAGACAGGGATTTTTTTTTTAACTCTCTTGGACTTTCAAGTCTATAGTACATCAGGTATATAGTTGAAAAGCAGAAGGCAGCCAGTGCAAGGCAGTATTTTAAAGGTTTTATAAGAAAAAAAAAGCTTGCAATGCTAGCTTTATGAACTATAAATCCAAGCACAGGCAAAACCATATTCAGGGTTGTGGAGGAACTGGTACAGACTAGTCAGGAAGAGTTTACAAAAGCTGAATTGGAGTTAACTAACATAAGTAATTTCCTTGGAAAAGTCACATATTCCCAAGTCCTTAGTGCAGTACCCAACCTTAAAATAGGCAGATGTTTGTTTCTGTTAGGTGCTGATGTGTCCTTGATTTTAATTCTATGAGCAAAGGCACTAAGAGTAGATAAAGTGAAAAACTAAAGTCGAATTTACATATTTACTTGAATAGCTGCATTGCAAATAGTTATGTAATGAGATTTGTGGGGGCCACTTTCTAGGAGGTCCTGAATTCCAAGTAATGTCTTAGATTGTGACAAACTTTATAAAATGTGGTATGGAAAGGCATAAAACCATGAAAAAAAAGATCAAAAATGGCAATGACAACGATATCTTTCTACCTTTAACCAATAATTTGTGTCTAAAAAGTCATGCAATTGTACTTAGACACCAAATACAAAAATTTAACAACAGTTCAAACCAAAATATATCTGTTTGTTATCCTACTGCGTTCTTGCCCCAGTTCCTAGACTGTTGAAAGGAAAATGTTTTGGGACATGACTAGATGAAAACTTCTGCAACTATTGAGCGTTCTTAACTGAACAAAGAATGAGGCAGTGTGGAGTTAATGTTCTGGCTTTAATGTAACAAAATTCAAGTTTGCATCACCTCCAGTGGCCAAAAATTTTCACATTTCCACATCTACTGATGCCCTTTAGCCTTGATGGTTTTAGCTCAGAGCTGCCTGAAGTGTCATCTTTACCTCTTACAATGTTCTAAGTGGAAGGAATGAAATCCTGGAGATTGCTGGGGCTAAGCCTACTCACATCTTTGAAAATAAAGATCAGGATTTTGAGAAAATATCACTTAACAATAAGGGCTCTGAAGAAACTATAGTGAAGGTAATATACATCACAAAGAGAAGGAAGAGAAACCAGGAAAGGAAGACACATCCACTCAATAAATGTTATCCTGTCTGCCTAAATCCCATTGAGCTGCTATGCAGGTTTCTAAAATTTGCCTGAGTCCCAGGCTGTGACCCACTCCTGCTTTCCCGGATGCAGCCTCTGTTAGGCACATAAGTGAAACAGGTTCCTCTCTAATTATCCAGCCATTTCCTGGGCACTACACACACTCTGAAATTCCAGTTCTGAGGAAAAATTAATCTGCTTTCCGTCAGAGCTCATATGGAGAGTTTAAATAGACAGCTCCTGAACCCATAGCACCAGGGGAAGTGCCCAAATAAACCTGGTGTGTCCAGGTTTAGGCACTGTCCAGACTGATGGAGATTCACCTCCTCTCCCTGCCCTGACTGTGATGGTGTGGGATATTTTTCATGAAAATATGTCCACCATTCCTCTTGATTCTGAGCAGCTGGGTCCCTACCAAGAGGAGGACTGAGGACAAGAGTCAGGACAGTCATTTTGTGGTGAGCAGTAGCAGTGACCTAGGCACAAGTGTTTCCACCACATCTGTAGGTTTTACATTGAAGCATCTTTGGATAGAAACTAGTATAGTCCAATTAGAGAACACCAGAAGATTAGGCCTCCTCTTTTCCCAGGTTAGGGCTTTTGCTTGCCTGCTGAGTATCAGACTGAGTTTTATGTAGATAGCTGCACAGGGGCTTACCTTCTAGAAGAGGATGCTCCTCCTCAGGATATGCTATGCAATGTGCTGGATGGGGCATGGTCCTGGGATCTGGAGGGTGTGGGTCTGTTGCCCCCCTAGCCTGCACCGTTAGGCCTCAACTTTGGTGTTGGTGTCTGGAAACTATATCCCATTAGCACTGCTACCCCATACTCACTCCCAAATGAGGAGGACTGGAATCTTGCTAGATGGAGGTACTTAAAATTTACTCAGCATTTCTTGATAGTTTTGATGAAGGGAGGTGTTTAATTTAGGCATGTTGAATTAGATTTTAAGACTCCTATAGTCTCTACAGAGAGAGAGGGGTGCCTATGTTATGCAGAGGTCTCCTTTAGCAGGTTTTCCATGATGAATATAATCTTTTGTGACTGTGTAAGTTCCTTGGATACATGTGAGTCAGCCTTCCTGTAAACAAGTGCTTTAAAATATAGGTAAAACCATGGCTAAGTTAGGCACTTAAATAAAATACTTGTTACCTAGGTAGCAGTTTAAGTAATTTGGATTTATAGCTGCTGGAATGCAAATCAGACCAAAATCAAGAGCATGCATACACCACAAGGAGCGCATTTGTAGTAGTAAATGCAGTGAAATCCCCTATTTTTCAGTAGTCTGTCTATAGAATATGAAGTAGTATTAGAGTGGAAAAAAATGATAAAGATCCTCAGTGTTTTATAATCATAATAAAAGGAACAAAAATATAACATAAAAGGGAAGTTATAAGTAGATATGCAGAAAGGGCTAGGAAGAACAGTTTAAATGTCCCAAAACTAGTTAATCACATGAGAAGACTAAAAACCAACATAGCATTTATAAAAACCAATATAGCATTTGTAATCACACAATAATAAAAATTAAAGAAGTTCTTTTAAAAGTGTGTGTGTAGTCACTCCATGTTGGAAGTTATAGGGGTTACACAATGCTGATCACATTCAGAAGACACAGATTATATGACCTTTGAAGGACAGGTGGCTGCTCTGGTAAAAGACCAGAACGCTGCTATTTATGTTGCAGTGCATTAACATGATCGATGAGGAAGTGGTACGCAACTTCTAAAAGTTTGACTTCCTTCACTGAAAAAGGAGTTTTTTTTAATTGTTTGTTTGATTTTTTTCAATATGAGAACATTTCCAACATTGGCATGAAAACTGGTTTTGGTTGTGTTAGGGAACTTGCTTTCCCATTTACCCAGAACTTGTAGCATATAATGGAGCATAGCAGTGGAGAATTTAAGAGCAATTCATCATTTATAATAATAGCAACAAACAACAGTGTTAAGTATGTGGTCATAGTTTAATTATTTGAGTAGCATTGGAACATTAATTGTACACAATCAAAACCTTACCAAATACTACAAAATTATGAAGCATTGTTTTATTCCTGACTGTTGTACTGATAGCTAACAGGTAGGATAAGATTGCTAGTTTTTTAAGTGTGTTTATCTGCCTTAGAAAAGAGTGCAACATGCAGAAGAGAGAAAAGAATGAGAAGGAGAAACACACATTTGTATCAGTTCTGTAACTTATGCTGGTATGTGTGTGACTCTTTCAGGCAAATAGCAGTTGTTTGCAATTTCACTGGTTTTGTAACTGTCATCCTCCTTGGTCATTATTGCCTAAGCAGCATTTTAGTTGAAAACATGCATTTTGAGAAGAGCAACTAATCATGGTGTAGAATTAAAATATGACATCAGTTATACAATCTGACCTACAGAAATCTGCAGGATAGTGTAATAATTCCCATCTTTTATTTTTGCACAGTGTTTATGGCTGTCCTTTGGCAAAAAAACGAAAAACACAAGATAAGCAACCCCAAGAACCAGCCCCCAAAAGAAAACCCTTTGTGGTTAAAGCAGACAACTCTTCAGTAGATGAGTGCTATGAGACTGATGGAACAGAGGAGATGGATGAAAAGGAAGAGGAAGAAGAGGAAGAGGATGAAGAAGAGGAGGAATATTCAGATGATAATGAGGAGCAAGGTGACGAGGAGGAGGATGATGAGGAGATAGATCGAGAAGAAGAGGAGGAGATTGAAGAGGAAGAAGAGGAAGATGAAGAGGAAGGTGAAGATGTGGAGGATGAAGAGGAGGAGGAAGAAGAGGAGGAGGAAGAAGAGGAGGAGGAGGAAGAACGTGGTAATAATCAGAGTATTAGTAAAAAGTAAACAATGTGTGTTTTCTGGGTTAATCTTCTAGTGTGGTGTGTGAGGATTTAACTGTGTGGTTCTCATTAAAGCTAATGGAAGTCATGCAGTTAAATCTCTCTGCTCCACACTGAAAATATACCCCACTGTGTTCTCTTAACATTTATTTTAATAAGTCTGTCTTCCAAATATTTTTTTAATACAGCAGCACTCACATTTCAAGCAAGGAGGGTGGAGGTGTGTTCTTGCTAAAAACGCTTGCATAAAATGGAATCCTTGTAGTGGATTAATGCATGCAGTTACCAGGAGAATATTCACAAAGGTACAAGCAAAGCATCAGCTACAGCTGGGTGCCTGTACTGCTCAGTTGCAAGTGTATTTGATGGATCTGCTTATATAATGTCAATGGCTGCCCACATAAATGCTATCACAAGTTTGAAGATAATTTCTGTGAGCAAAAGTGGGCCTTTTCCCTTTGAAAATTTGGCCCCTTTCTTCTCCCTACCCCAAAAAACTATTCAGAATGCACTATTATAATATACTTTGGTTCTCTGAGACATGAATGCTGTGTACTTAGTTGATTATATTAAAAATACAGAGAGTGAGAGCTTTACATAGATAAAGTCCTTTTAAAACTAATGTATTTTGGTTATCATACCATGGCATAAATGCCATTTAGACATACAGGTCACCTGTAGTAACAAATTTAATGTAGTAGCAATATGATTGACCTATTCACCATTCTCTTTTTTTTGGATATTGGACTCTTTATAACCAGTATTTTCAAAACATGTAATCAGTGTCTGTTTACTCGAGAGTCCAAATGCTGATGACAGACATCATAATGCACTGGGGTGAAATGAAAGACTCATGCAAAAATTAATGAGCTATCTAAAAAGTATTTTGTTCCCATTTCCAGGGAACACGTTTTTGGTTGGGTAGATTCACCTTTCTAACCAATAAAAATATAAGAAAAGCTTTCAGCACTCCTCAGTTGGATTCCTCTTAGGAACCAGGTATGAAAGTTGTATGACTTTTGTTTCAGCATTCTGTAAGGCCAGATCTTAAATCTTATAGAAAGACTTTGGAAGTATTCTTTCCATTCAGGCAAGATGGTGGCCAGCTGGGTGGCTATAATAATTTTCTCAGATAACTGAATCTGTAGCATTTCCTCAGTTGCTTAAATTTGCCAGCAAAATTGGTAGGGCATAAATGGCCAGTCTTAAAAGTTTGAGTTTGATGCAACAGGGAAGCCATTTCCTTTCGCAGGTAACTCTGCTGCAGTTTCAGAACCTGGAAGAGAAGCTGTGTTAGTTCAGGCTGATGTGGAACTGCTATTGCTATCCTGATGGGCAAGTGCAGGATGTCTTAGCAGTTTCTTTAAGAGATAACGGTGACTGAGTTTGTTGGTGCTAAGATTATGATGCAACTGTTGCTGTGATTTCAGCTGTCATGAAAAACTTTGAATCTACACTATCAAAAATGATAAAAAGAAAAAAAAGACTAAACAAAACTCAAGAGCTCAAGAAAATTGCTTCTGGCAAGCCAGCAGGCTTGATACTCAGTTTACTTTTACTATCATAATGAAACACAGTGGTTTACTTATTCCAACACAGTTACACATGCAGTTAGAGGTCCTAATCAATCTACAGAGGCTGACATTTCTTTTTGACTGCTTTCCTTCCATATATAGTAGGCTGTGGTTAAGAACTGCAAAAATTTTACACAAGTACCTGTATTGGCTGCTCTGCATATTACATGAAATTGAAACTTACATAGGTCAAGTTTTTCTTAGGTTCCCATGTTATTACTGTCATAACACATATATACGTTAATAAACATATATATGTTCTATGTCAGATATTAGGAAAAAATTAGGAAAAAAATCCCCATAAAATGGGAAAAGTGATAATAGAATTTTATAAGAAAAATATTTCATGATCTTTCGACAATCAATATAGTAATCACTATGCAACAATCCCAGTTAAAGCACAGCTGATTTACAAGAAAGAGTTACTAGCAATTAATAAGGAAGGTAGCGTGAAGTTTCTTATGTCTATGCCAGGGACTGGAAAGTGATAACATTTTATTCTTGGTGAGGTCTAGAAGCTAATCAATAAATAGTATATTTCCTATTGATTTGGATAGGGATCCTGGCATTTCACTTTGTTCCACTCATAACATATGCAACTCTGGTAGAATTTGGACTATTGATTTTCCAGGAAAACAAAGTGCCATCAAAATTACAGGGTTTTAGAACTATGTGGTCTTAATATGGCACTTGCCTTGTTGACTATATGGGAAAATTCAGTCTGTCAGCTCTGAATTTAGTTGTCTCAATCACTCATTGCTCACTACAAAGTAGATATTGTAGTAAACCAGCATCCACCTTTTAAGGCACCTTAGCAGGAAGTCTGAATGTGTCTTAGTGCTCCTATGCCTAGAAACAAAATGCAGAATTAACCACTGGACACCAGGATGCCTGCACAGTTCTCTTACATAAAGGTTTCTATCACTTGTGCCATAGATTCTAGCTGTTCAGAAGATTTCCAGAAGTATCTATAGTCTAGGTGGACAAAACAGTTAAAATCATAAATATCGGTGATAGAAGAATTACATCAGCAAGTATAGGAATACAGAGGGAGCGATTAGTCAGAGGGAAGAGGAGAAAGGAAGAAGGTAAGGTATTTTATGATTTCTTAGACAAAATTGAGTTTTCTGTTAGAAAAGGGTAAATCCTAGGAAACTCAATTACCTCACCGGCATCTCATTGCCCATACTTTTTTTGTGAAAAGAAAGTGAATTTTGGATGAGATTCTCAGAGGATATAGATGGTATACAAGTAATGTAGGTGTATAGTTTTTACTGAAAATACTTGAACGTTCACTGAAACCATCTTGGCCTTTTTGAAAATCACATCTTTATAACCTTGTTATTGACAAACTGAAGTACTTGGAAAATACAGATGTATCCTAAAGAAGCACTCTTACAAATCTCAAAATACCAATTTAAAACAAAAAGAAAACAAAAACCCAGTTTTTTTTACGTGAGTGCCAAATTCTGTGCTCATATTTCTGTATACAATCTGAAATTGAACTAAACTTAATGTTTAAAATTTCCCAGCAGTGGCTGGCATATTCTCTTTAAATTTCCATTAAATGTACTGAATCTCTTTGATGAACAGATATCTGTCCATCTGTGAACAGACTTGAGAAGCCCTTATGTTCAGCATCACCCCTAAAGGAAAGATAAATCTTTCCAATTTCCCATATATCCCAGAAAGAAAGGGCAAATGGATGGCTTGTGTTACTGTAAGCTAACCAGTAAATTGCAATACAAATGGGAAAGAAGAGGCTGCTTTCAGTGTGTCCCTTCTCTGTGGTGGCAGCTGCAGAGAACCTTTGATTGAAATCTGAAGGGTGCATTTGATTTGCAAGGCAAACTGAAGTACTTTCTCCTCAGATGATCTCACTTCAGGTATTTGGCCCCAAAGACCCTTTCACAAAGCTTTTCTATTATAGAAAGAAATCTCCGTTGGAGAAGCTCCCGGAACAGATGTTCCAAGGCACCATTTAGCCCATTTCACATGAAGACATTCAAGATGGCTTGTACTCCAGGTATTTCATGATCTGCCAGGGGCAGGAGGAGTCAGGCTGATTCTAGACCTAAGGAAATTTGATACAACAAGCAAATCCATTTCACAGATGATGCTACAAAAGCTATTGCAGTTTCCCAAGAGGTGAATTGTTAGGATTAGACACTCCCTTACATTTTCTAATAAACTTAAGGTAACTGGCATATACAGTATATCAATATGTGGTACTGCACCTAACTTTTCAGGTGGAATATACCACAAAAATAGCGGTAAAACATAGGTAGCAGTGTGTGTTCAAAGGAGACATAAAACAGCTTTTGAAAATAAATAAAAGCTACCACGGACATAGAGACAGATGTTCTACCTGTTTTCACGTTTCTTTAAATTGTAGGATTGTTTTTAAAAATTGAGTAATATGTTTTGGTTTTTTCTTTCACTTGCATGAACTCGACTCAGACTCATAGGCCCTCACAATTTGAAATCCATCTCTCAACTCTATTAAGATTGTTAGTGCCCGCTGCTATTTTCCTGATCCCCTCATCAGATTGCTTCTGAAGCACTTATACACTCTAGAGACCCAAACACCAATCTAAAGATGAAGGAAGCACATGTGCAGAGGAAACTGTGGTGATACACAGTTTTCCAGCTGTGCTTGCCTCTGAAGACACTCTACGTCTTGATAAAAGATGGCAGATATATATTAGCAAGGTTGCCTGTCCAGCTTGCTGACCACTAATCACATTCATTTATTTAAACTATTTGCAGGAAAGTGGTCATCTATTTGGTGAACACAGTAGGTGCTCAGTATTAATCAGAGCAGAGAGCTAGGCCCATGTGTGCCTTGCAGGCAAAACACTAAACAGAAAAAAAAAAATCTTTAAATTAAGAGGCCAAAAAGCATAATTTCAGTGCTTAGGACAATGAACAGGGAAGGAAGTGCATTTTCCAGGGCCAGAGAAGATTAAGTAAATACCTGACAGTTTCACAAGGTAAAGCTAATCTTAACCCTTTGGTAAAAAACTCTATTGCTGTATTGTTTCACCTCCTTCACAAAAGAAGATACCTGTGCTTAGGGTATCTCACCAATAACAATATGAAGAACAGGAAAAAATAGACTTGCAGATGGAAGACAGTTGTCCTGGTCACTGTCTTGGTTTCCTCTGGCTAGGAAGTTAAAGTTGCCTTTCTGGTCTTGTTACAAAATGCTCAAGCCTGGGGGTGGTTGGGTCAAACCACAGCATAAGAACTTCTGTTGATACCTTCTTTCTGCATTGAAGATGCAAGCACAAATTGCTAAACGTTCTGCTGTTTAGCTGTTTATATTGTTTCATATAGAGACATTCAGACTAAACATTTTCTCTGGAATTTTTTGTTGGAAATAATGCAATTAGAAGATT